ATTGGATTCCAAAAATGATTCTCCAGTTTTGCTATTCAAGACTATATGTAGGTATTGAAACTATTTCCTGTTGTCTGTTGCTACGGATAGCAAGGATGGACATGGATTCAAACTTGAAAAGCTGGGCCAACTTTTTCTGGTTTTAATGGTATGCCTGCAAAAATCGCCAAAACATTGTTATGTTAAGTGCTTCCTGAACAAATTTGTTTTACATTTTATAAGTCTATTGGAGCATTTTTATTTTTGTGTATGGGTAAAGGGTACCAAGTCATGACTTTTGCACAGAATCGACCTTGAGTAATATCCTCGTGACGTGGCCCCGTTAACTGTTAATTTAAAGTTGAGGACATGGTATTGCCTGATTTGTCCCACGAATGACTACTAACTTACAGCTTTGCATGATTGCTGAAATGACCATATAGTAATCGCAGCCCTCTCTCTGGTTGGCAACCTAAAAACAGAGTCTTCAGTGTTACACACTGACTCTTTATTAAAGTAGGTTTCTTTGTTTGTGAGCAAGCTGTACAAGACAGTCAAGTGCACTTCCTCTGTAAACAATGCATTTTTTAAACATTTTACATTGACAGTAGATTTGTTAATTTATTGACTTTAGGCAGCGGTGTTTATGGTGTCCTGTACTATGCTGGTCATGGTTTTGATGATGGTGGGGAAAGCTTTCTTCTTCCTGTTGATGCAGATCTCAAATATGATCGCCAACACAGCCTGCGAGCTCAAGAGATTCTTCAAACAATGCAGACATGCAACACTGAATTGAACTTGTTGATCATTGACTCTTGTCGAATCAGGTAGGGTGAAATACTGTCCGTCAGTCTTGCATTTGTAGGCAGTGTCCCAAAGAAAAATGAAAATGCTACTATCGTTTTTGTATTATTTGTTTATCAATAAAAAGTTGTAGCCATTGTTAAACAAATGTTGGATAGAGTACCATGCCCGGGGTATCATGCCATGTTGAATGTTAAAATAGGTTACTCACCATGCATCTTTGGAGACCTAGGGGCAGTCATTTGGGGCAGGAAAACGGCTGCGAATGTCTGTTAAGAATGGTCGAAAGAGCTCCAGGATGTCCAGTTCCAGGACTCATTCAAATGCTTGTCTCTGATTATTTTTTGTGCCCAATCGGAGGCCAGGATCTATCGCACTGCTTTCATGACCTTCTAATATGAAGGAGTTTACCTGCAAACTCGACTGTTCCTGTACCTGTCTGGCTCGTGCATGAGAGCTTACCTCAAGATGAGTTTTCAGTGAAAATGGGCTCCAAAAAACCAAAGAATTCCTTAATTTAGCATGTTAGCAATACAAAACAAAACGAAAAATGTACCAACCAAAGAAATCAGACTGTGGACTGGTCGAAGGTAAAATTGTAAACACCAGAGTACTTTTAAGTTTGTTCATGCAACTATTCAAGAGTTTCGTTCGATCCACTTGTGTCACTGAGGAGAAAATTTTAACATCAAACTTACAGACACTAAAGGGCAAAGAAATTTCGCCAGCACGTGCCTGACAAGTATGCTGAGCAGGCGTAAACAGCCACGCACACGATTTCGCATGAACAAGCCTAGAGGAACTCTGGTGTTTACGAATTCACCTTTGATCAGTCTAGAGTCTGATTTCTTCAATATTGTGACACGAAAATGTTACCAATTATGGAATTTGTATGGCTTTTGGGGCCCATTTTCACTGAAAACTCTTCTCGAAGAAAGATACACTACCCAAACAGGTATGGCAAACAGTCAAGCAAGACCAATTTCTCTTCCAGTTTCTAAAGTAGCGAATTCCGTTTATGTTAACAGATTGCCCAATAATGGTGGGTCTGTGCAATATTGCAAAAGAGGAGCTAGAGGAAACAACATTTTTGCTTACTCTTGGTAAGTGTTAGATCATCAAAGTTCCAATGGCGTGCTTTGTAGATTATTATTATTATTAGTAGTAGTAGTAGTAGTAGTAGTAGTAGTAGTAGTAGTAGTAGTAGTAGCAGTAGCAGTAGCAGTAGCAGTAGCAGTAGCAGTAGCAGTAGCAGTAGCAGCAGCAGCAGCAGCAGTAGCAGCAGTAGCAGTAGCAGTAGCAGTAGCAGTTGCAGTTGCAGTAGCAGCAGCAGCAGTTGCAGTTGCAGCAGTAGCAGTAGCAGTTGCAGTAGCAATAGCAGCAGCAGTAGTAGCAGTAATAGTAGTAGTAGTAGTAGTAGTAGTAGTAGTAGTAGCAGTAGCAGTAGCAGTTGCAGTTGCAGTTGCACTAGCAGCAGCAGCAGTTGCAGCAGTAGCAGTAGCAGTTGCAGTAGCAATAGCAGCAGCAGTAGTAGCAGTAGTAGTAGTAGTAGTAGTAGCAGTAGTCAATTTAGAATTGTCGGACGTTGACTTAGATATTGAAAAAGGACACGCAAATATTCATTAATAAGGCATTGAGAACGCTATTTAATTTCCTTTTTTAGTAATTTTCTTAGTAAGAATGCGTTTAACCTTAAATAGTTTTTTGAATCGAAATGGATTGTTTTAATTGAAATGAAATAATTTTAATTCGAATAATTTTTTTAATTAAATGAATCTTTTTCTTATCAAAATTAAGTGTTTTTTTTTTTAATCAAAAGGAATTGTAAATAGTGTTTTGACGGAATAGTTTTTTAAGCGAGTTAATTGTAAATAGGATTTTAATAGTTAACATTGTTATTATTATTATTATTATTATTTATTTAAAATATTAATTATTATTATTATTATTATTATTATTATTATTATTATTATTATTTGTATCTTTGTTGATGTATTTATTTGGTTAATTTTGGTTTATTTTGGCGGCAGTTGTTCTCAGCATGAAGCATATGAGGCGCCGGGTAAAAGAAATGGTCTATATGCCTTTCATTTGCTAAACCACCTAAGACGAAACGAGAGGATAGAGCTTATTCTTATGGATGTGGCACGTGGTATGTAAAGAGTTGCTTAGTTAAACCATAGTTAGAAGAGGAAATTGGTTAGAAAACCCGGCAAACATCAAAGTTGAAAACAATGGTGCTGTAGGTTAAGTTGGGAGCTCCCTGACCGTGCACAATCCTTTGTTTTCTGTTCACAAATTATGAAAAATGAGTTAACAGTAACTGCGGTCGTTTCGTCCCGACTTATCTGACTACACAGCAAACTGCGCACCGAACGACGAATAAATTCCGGGCGAGAAGATCGGAATTACAAAGTGATTTTAGCAAGAGGTGATTGGGTGAAAATTCCACAAAAAAAAACAGCCCCACTCCCTGGTGTTAGGAATATTTGTGGAATGTGGCTGGTAATGACGTTCAGTGTTATCAGCCTCAGTTACTGTAACGAAAATTTGCATGGCGATTGTCGCACTCTTTAACTTGGAACATTCTGAGGACAAAAAAGATAAGTTAAATTTTCATTTTGACGGAAAGGAGACCACCGGGATTTAGCTTTGTCAAATGCTTTTTTGTTTTTGCTAAAAAAAAAAAAGAGAATTAGTGGATAGTTTTAGGTATTATTATAGCTGCTATGAGTTCATGCATGTAGCTGTGTATATTTTCACAGATGTTACCAGGGAAAGCACTCGAAGCCTTATTCAGCGACCCTGCCATGAATCTGATGCAGTGGCTGATTGCCGCTTAACAGATCCCATTATCCCTACAGTGCGTCCAAGAGAATTTGAAGAAAGGATTCAGCTCTGGAACCAAGCTCACTGTGAGTGTACCGTATTAACTCGAGTAAATAAGCGGCACGGCCCGATATAATCAAAATCGGAAGACGATAATTCTGTTAGTTTAATACGGAAAATAATACTTCTGTATTTCAAACAATTCTTTGTCTCGTCCAACTTTTAAATAGGCGCCGCTTGTTCGAGTGGATACGGTATTGACTGTTTTCTTTCTGCAGTCATCAAATTTCTGCCCGTGCCACAGTTACAATTTCACTCTCAGAGTAATTCGCAAAGACAAGATGCAGTTCTTTAATTTGAATCCTATGGTGTGCCTAGTCTAACCTCAGCAGTACTTCCACGCGGTAGTGTTTATTTATACGGCATAAACTGGTCCTAGTTTTTTAGTTTCTTGGCAAAATCAAGCCGTGTGAACTAAGAGGACGAAAATTGGTGCTTTGGTTAGTCAGTACCTTGCAGTTTTAAAATGTGAAATTTTTCTGTGAAAGTTTGCCTGAACACCTTTCAGACAAACGGCAAATGAGCAGAGAAGGTCATTTTTCCTACTGATTATTACGCGTGTCGTTTGTTGCCCGATTTGAAGGTGAAGAGGAGTGTTTTCGTGCTCATAAATTGCGTGAGTGCGAACTTTTCTTTTTAACCGTTTCCTGAAACAGTAGCAATCGTATGGCCATCCCTGCCGTTTACCGTCAGCGTGGTACTTAACTTTGTAGAGTCTTGCCGCCAGCCTGTGAGAGAATGTGACTTAACTTACTCACAGACAACTTACAGTAAGTTAAGGTGCGTAAAAACGGGCAATAAAAAAACGTGCAACTTGTCTTGCAACATTGATGCAGAACAAGTTGAATAGCGATATTACGCGTTTTACAACCTAAATCAAACCTGTCTTGCAACAAATCAGGTTGTTAACAGGTTTAAACGTGGGTGGTAAAACGCTCAACATCGCTATTCAACTTGTTCTGCAGCACTGGGTGTTGCAAGACAAATTGCGCGTTTTTTTGTTGCCCGTTTTTACGCATCTTTACTGTTTGTAAGTTGTTAACTGTTAAGTTGTTAGGCAACTGAATAAAACTCAGCTAGGATGATGAGTTACAGAGAGCAATTTATTTTTATTTTACAGTTCTTCCAGGAGATATAAGACCTATAGAGAGAGACGGTATAACCATCACTTTTAATTATCGACCAGTATTTTCCAATGTCCTGGACATAGCAATAACGGCTCGCAACTCCAACCCTGTGACACTTCACCAAGTTGTAATGGGACTAGATGTACCTACGGTAAGTTTACAGTCTTTTCTCCATATATTGAAATGCCATATTTACAATAACTGAAAGATTTTTCGCGCGCTGATTGGTCGATAAGAGCATAGACCATGGTAATCACGTGATGGTGGCGCAACTTGTTTTTCTCTTTCTCTCGAGCGCGATTATCCGAGAAACTTCAACAGAAATGGAGGTCAAAACTGTCAATGTTATTGTAAAAAACAAATCGACAACAATTTTCCATGGTCTATAGAGTATGATAATAATAATAATAGTTTATTGATATCCCTCTCGCAGCCTAAAGGCTGAATTAGAAGGAAGGTCAGTGACAATAACAGAAGACAATACGATACAAAAACAATCAAATAGATAATTATGTAAATATGATTAAAAGCACTACATAACAGAGAAAAAATAACAGAGCACTGGATTACAACTGGTCTTGAAACTTAATGGTGCAGAAATCTGCGAACCGCTTTGTCTTGGGGACAAGGCGCACCGGAACACGTTCGCCTGAACGGAAGCAGTATAGCCTGTCAATTGACACACAAGGAATTAATGGCTTGAGTACCGGAGACGACAGGCAGTCACGCTTGATAAAATTTATGCAAGCTTCCTCCCTTCTCTGGGAAAGGGCAGTGATGCCAGATTGAATTAGGGCGTCGTCATAGTGACAATTCGGCAAAACGATGCGTAGGACCCTTTTTTGTACATGACGTCACGGCGGCCATATTGGTGTCCCAAATAATGAAATGGCGGCCATGTTGGTGTCCCAAACCAATCATGTGGGATTTGAACTCTTTTCGTACGCAAACGCTTTCTCTTGTTCCAATAAATTTGCATAGATGCTGGCCTCGTGAGTGAAAACGCTCTATACTCTTATCAACAATGGAAATGACGTCAAAATGTTCGCTTGCGGCTCGTGGTTACACTTTGAGTTCTGAACATTTTGACGTCATTTTTGTGATCGATAAGGGTACAGACCATGGAGAACTGTTGTCGATTTGTTGAATATGCTGTAAAAGGTAAACGACGCCCGGCCCACACTAGCGACGCAAGCATGACACAAGCATAAGCAAGGGCGTGACAAGACTTGCTACAAGTCGACCTCTCAGAAGTTTCTAAAATCGAGAGAAGTGAGCTTCAATGAAGTCGCGCAGCCATCGAGCGTGCTACGTCGACTTGTTTCGCCTGAAATGTGAATGGACTTGAATCATATTACAAATTCACTTGAGAAAAAATGATTGACATATGCTATGTCGGGAGTGGCGTCTAATATCACTCACTCTCCTATTGGTCAATTGTCATGACGTCACCGGTGGAATTTTTCACCGGTTAATTTCGCGCCAAACAGGTGTGAAACTGGCATAAACTGGCATAAACTGGAAAAAGTAAAGGACTTTTAGAAAGTCTACAATTTTCCCCGAACTAAGGAAAACTGTGTCATTTCGCTAACTCCCAGCAGCAGTTGTTGCTAACAGGAATTGACTTCACATATTCTGTTTCTTGACAATATATATTTAACTCTCTTTGAAGCCGGTTATGACTCACCTTCGACATGTGACTGGTGAAGTCCTTGATCCCTATATGGGGACGATAACGCAAGTTGTGCAGCTGTACAGACTACAAAAGTTAGAGGTAGAATTTTTGTTGTTCTTCTTCTTTAAACATAGCCTGCGTAGCGGACGCCGGTTTTTTGACGTTCTGTGCTCCCTCATAGAACGTAGAAAACGAAAAACTAAGCCTTAGTTAGGCTGTAGGCGCCTCCTCTTCCCTTCGAGCGTTCCCCTCGCGAGGTCCATAAAACACGGGCGCCTGCTACGCAAGGCTATTTAAACCATGAAGTTTCATGTGTAAACATCAGCATAATATTAAACAATTATTCCTCGAGCCCGAATGGGCTCTGAGTCAATAGCTCATGAGGCCGAAGACCGAATGGGCTATCGACTCAGAGGCTATGAGGGCGAGAGGAATAATTGTTTTTGTAAAATACAATTAGTTGGTCAAAAATATCGAGAATAAAAAACTTTTAGCTAGTTAAAGCTAGACTTTAGTCCTTTTTTTGTCACCAAAAAGCCCGCGCATTTCGCTACTAGTGGGCTATAACATATAGCCTAGTAGTAGCTCAACCAATCAGAACGCAGCATTGATAATAGACCACTAGTTGGATTTTACTAAACAATAATACCAATCAGTTTTATTTTATTTTAGTTCAATTCCCTCCTTAGTTTTTCCTGGAGGGAAACAAAACATTTGATGGAAAAACAAAACGAAACAAACCAAAACATAAGGCGGAAGGAATTAATGTGATAGGTTGAAGATGAAAAAAAAAAATGAAGTGAATGTTAGGGACACCGCAATAGCAGGGAGTTATTTCGAGTTATTTTGTATGCTGCTCACCATGTTTGACATACAGCTAAATCACAAATGTAGCCTCTGCTCTTATTCAACCCATTCTGGCTGGTTTAATCTTTACTCGTTTCGTTTTGAGATGGAGACACCGGTTGTTTACCATTTACATGGGAAAACCGGTGTGTTCGGTTCACGGTTTGGGCAAATGATAAGCAAAATTCAAGACTGGTGAATTTCGTCCCGGAATCGCCTTTACCATGTGCACTAATCAGTTACATTACCGAAAACGGCCGCGAAAGGCTGAAACTGGTATCAAAGATGGCTTTGAAGAAATGGAACACGAAATCAGACTTTCCGTTTCTCCCGGAAATTTTCTACCGAAACGACCCGAAAAGTCGCGTCCCATTTACTTTCTATTCCGGCTTTTTATTTCCCAAAAACTTTTTGTAAATGATAAACAACCACCGCGGACTATTTTAAAGCTCCACCCCTCTACCTTGTTTTTAGCATCGCCCACGACGAGTGTAGTGGAAACGTCAATTTTAAAATGGATTCGTGTTTTTCAAACTTTGTCGCGTTTATTCCAATTTGCTGAAATTGTCAAATGTAGGCGAATTTCCTAGGAGTTGATTTCTTGGGCACCGCACTGAAGTTTAGAAAAGAAAGAAAATTCGTCGTCGCTTTTAACATCCTCCATAAAACGTCAAGTTAGGTAGTGTCACGTCGTAGTCGTGTAGTGACGGCGAAGAAATGTACAAAAAAAAGCGTGATACACGTGCAAAGTTGTTGTTTTGCCTAACAAACTTATTGCTTTTTGACATCCTCGTTGCTAAAGCTCCCCAGTAAGAAGTTTTCTGACACTTTGTTTTACCACTTAGGATCCCTTGGTGGCCAAGTTCAAAATATACTACGACAACGGTAACGAGACAAGAGATTTTGAGGAAACAGTTTGTCTCGGGTGTCCTCTGATATCGTCCGTTTTTGCTCGGTGGGATTGGTGGATAACATGCGGACAGATACCTCAAGGAAAATGTACCCAGGTTTAATTGCAGCAGAGTTAGCAGAGGGCATTGATGGCAATGGCTTGCTTTGAAACCTAGGCAGTTCTGTTAGGAATGTTGACGTTATTTTTTATACAGAGTATCCTCAACAGAGTCTCTTGGTATCGTAAAACCAGCACAAGTGATTTTCTCTTGGCTTTTAGTGGCCAATCACGACAGATGCTCACATTTCAAGGAACCAATCAGAACTCGAGCAAAATTCATCACCAGCACGAAGCTTGCCAACCGCGGGAAAAAAGGACTGCGAGCAAGGCGTGATTGGTTTGGGTTCGAAGCTTGGTGTTAAGACTTTGTTTAAAACAATGGCACGAGATATTTATAGTCATAAACCGAGTTATGGAAAATCAAAGAAAGTACCAAACTGTATTCGTCGTGACCGAAAACCCCTCTGTTGTCATCTTAATTATCTTTTAGCGCGCGCCGTGATCTTAGACAGACTCCACACAGAGACACGATAAATTCAGAATTGTTTGGTCCCACATCAGAAATGTGGCCTCTTCGGATCGTCTTCCGACGCACAAGGGTGCATTTGAGAAACTTTCGGTATACCTTGAATTACTACGGAACCTTCCTGATATCAAATTACGCTTCTAAATTGGTACTTTTACAGAAATTGTTTAACCACGCCGTGATCTTAGACAGACCCCATACAGAGCATAAATTCAGAATTGTTTTGTCCCGCATGAGAAATGTAGCCACTTCGGATCGTCTTCCAATGCACACTGGGGGTTCATTTCAAGGATTTGAGAAATCTTCGGAAAACCTTGAGATACTACGGAATCTTCCGGATACTAAATCACGGTCCTAAATTTGATGAATGTCATCATCATTGTCCTTGGTCCCCAAATGGGAAATTGAACCGTGTTGATAAATGTACTTTAAGTATAAATGGTAGTATTATTCATTCAAAATATTTTGCCGTGTCTGACTCTGCTCCAATCCTCTGGCTATCTTTTCATAACCAGCCGTCGCTGACTGTATTTGGAAAGTGCAGGCTACATTAAATAGCCGCCTCATTTCCAGGCAGCGACGCTGCAGCCTAGCCTGTTTATGCAAGAGTGAACTCAAAAAAAGCGGAAGAGTTTACTTAAGACGAAGAAGCCGAATTCCTTGAGCAGAAGAAATGCGAGAATACGCCAAAAAAATTAGGGCCTGTTTACATGGAGGTGGGGGACCCCAGTTAGGCGAGGTAACCCGCTTAGGTGAGGTAACCTGCCTGTCCATATTATCTCTCTTTTTAATTTGATCACGTTTACATGTTAGGTGGGGTGACCCGCCACATGTTACGTCACCTATCTGGGGTCCCCCACCTCCATGTAAACAGGCCCTTATTCCTTGATGAATGTCATGTACTTTTTTAAAGAGTATCTGCAAGAAAAAGCATCTCAGTGCCGAGAAACAAGCAAATGTTTTTAAGAAATTCAACGAGGAGGTAAGGTTGTCACGAACTTAGAAATATTTTGAATGAATAATAAAGCAATTATTGAATTCAGCTTTCGCATGACGGATGTGAAGAATTGTGCAGAATTCGGAGGCTGTCGGCGTCGGTGGATTCTTGCTCTGTATAATTCCTTTTATCATACTTAGGTTCATTCAATAATTGTTAATTATGCCATTTGTTTTTACTACCTTATAAGTAAGAAAAACTTGTCATGCCGCACTGTTTGATGGCTCTCTTTTAAACGGATCAGATGTAGAATTTCATTGAAATATTTACAGTTACAATGTTTTCGCTAAGCGAAAGGTATTGTTATTATTATTATTATTATTATTATTTTTTTTTTTTGCTTATTAGTCTCTAAAATCAGAAGGTATTAGAAAAAGAAAAAATATATTTTTTTTATCAAAGGCACATTTTCAAGTGACCATCATAGTTTGATGCGTATGTGACACTTAGCGATGATTTCTATGAAATCGTTTTGAACACTTAATCAGACTTCGTTAACTTGTATGTTTTGTTTTCCCAATGAAGGTCTCGGGGAAATTTGAGCCTTTGTCTTGTCATGTATTATGCGTACAGATGCACGTGAGTGAGACGAAATCTGAAGGAAACAGTTTTCTTGAGTATTATCACATGACCTGCATCGGAAAAAAACATACAAGCTAAAGAGGTCTGTAGTCCATTTCTACAATAAGTCATTTGACTTCAACTAGCAAATGTTGTAATCTCAAAGAGGTTTAACTCTTTGATGCTTACATTGAATGATTACGTCCTGTAACAGTGATTCCAACTTTTTGAGTCTGCGGATGAAATCCTATGGTATGACCATGCAAGTGAAATTTTTTCGTAGTACTGTTTAATAGTACTTTTTGATTTTTCGGATTTAAATAATAATGAAATTTGAACTTTTTTGCAAAATTTTGACTCAACACAGTTCTGGGAGTGAACGGGTTAAGAAACAATACCCCTAATATGCACAAGAAAACAATGCTGAAGTATTTTCATAGTTGTAGTCAAATGATGTCATCGTGCAAATGGCCTTTAAAAGAAATAAACTTGCCTCGTTTTTCTGAGGCTTATAAAGATTTTTTTAGCAAGTCCTATTTTTATGGCTTTAAAAATGCCGCGGGTGAATGGTTTTTCAGAGATTACCTATTTCCTTGATAAAACGAAAACAAATGCTACAATAGCATTGCTAACTGTAAAGTCAATAAACAGTTGTATTTTGCCACATTTCTGATGATAGCCATTTATGAGTTGCATATCACTTTCTCAGACCATGTTGGGGTAAAATTTCGACAAGTGACATAAGACAAACGAAATGGCGACAAACGACGTAAAGATGGTTTAAATACCGACAGGAACATGGCCTACTCCGCAAAACGTGAGACGACCGTATTTGAAACTAAGACTAGGGACGTGTGTAAACGCCCCCCCCCCCAACCCCCTCAGGAGAGCGATATCTAAAAACGACCTGCTATATATGATTATGGTGTAGAAAAGAGCCACAACTCAACTAACGTGTTCTAGTACCTCCTCTGCTGTCGGTTTTTCTCTCGCGCTGGCTTATAGACTGAAAGCAAAGCCTGGAACAGACCACCCTCTCACCCCCCGTGCCACATATGACGTCATAACTTACGATGTTTCAATGTACCAGTCCCTATTAACTACAACCTCTACCTTGGGGTATCTATGTTTTTTGTTTTGTTTTTTTGGGGGGGTGAGGAGAGAGGCTGTTTTCACAATTTCCATATAAAGAAAACATGAGTCTAGGCAGGCCTCGTAGCTACAATAATGAATTGAGTTATGAAATAATCTGGGAACGTTCAGAGTTTATTTAATAGTAATTGTCTACGAAAAACAACCGTCTTGTGCAACACACACAATTGTATAATCACTCGTTTTATTTTTAACAGCTTTTCATATTTAATCGCTAGTTTTGACAACTTTATTTACGTGTCCACCCATTTATCTGGCTCACTTTAGACCGCGTAAAATGAACAGCAACATTCAGGCGACTGCGTTTTGTTTCTCCCGACAGCACGCCGACGACTTTCGTACCACTACTGTCTGTTACGAACATTCCCGATCCCGAACTTCCACGAGTGGCGTCACACTTGTTATATATGACACCACCTTGTACCAGAAACACGGAGCATTTTGTGGTTCAGAGACTATTGCGAACTTTATCCCCAGGAAATCCTTGAGAAGAAAAAATAAGTCAAATAAATTCTTAACCATAAAATGATAAACAGGCTTGGCCCATTCAACAAATTCTGTTGATAGGTACATGCTGCATACAGATAAATTTTTCAGGAAATAATCAACTGTTTAATATAAGGCAATACAAACGTTTTTTACGGTCAACCCTCGCCTCATGGACACCTTACTGATACTAACTAGAGGTACAGTAAAAACCCGCGTATAAGAACCTAGCTTTTTCCAAGTTAGCCTAAACAGGTTCTTATATAAATGGTATTTAGTGTAAAATTAGGCTAACTAGGTTCTTAGTTAGGTTCTTAACTTTTGTTCAAGAAATAAAGCTGAATTTTCAAATGATCTGGTGTTTAATGTCCAAAAACAGTATTCTTGGAGACTTCGTTAAGCAAAATACTATACTATTTTAATCTGATTCTGTTACAATCAAACCTATGGTAAAGTTTTATGTAACCATGCTATAGTGTTTAGAGTATTATTGCATACAGACTGTGTTATATATATATATATATCAAGAGACTATAAAGGGGACAGAGAGGGCATCCCCCATATACACCCTATTCCATAGGTAATTCGTCTCGAGTTATTTTTAGAATCGGGATAAAGTTACCTCGCGCGAGGCGTGGATATTTCGTGGAGGTTTCGCATGACCAAACGCCGTGCAAAACATGTCGGGCGAGAGGCAATGAAAGCGTAAAAAGATCGAGAGCATTCCTGAATATTGAAGCGAAATGAGTCGGCGCTCACATGGGAAAAAGGAATCGCTGGACTCTTTGACAACCCGTGAAATCAGTTTAACTCGAAGTTGTCGTAACCTCAGTGCTTTAATAAAATGAGAAATTTCGCCGGTCTGTTGAAACCGGTCGTTTGTACAATTTAGGGAGTTTTAGACCCTGTTTACATGGAGTGGGGGACCCCGGTTTAGTGGGGTAGGTTTCTTTTGTTTTGTGTCCCCCAGAGCGTGAAAACAAAGGAAACCAACCCCACTAGACCGGGGTCCCCCACTCCATGTAAACAGGCCCTAAGATCCAACGACGCGGACGACAACTAGAACGTCAAAAAAACAATAGGTTTAATTAGCAAAACAACAACTTCGCACGTGCAACACACTTTTTTGTTCATTTCTTTCCCGTTTTTGCACGACTACGACGTAAAAATGCCTAATTTCGCGTTTTATGGAGGACGTGAATAAGCAACGACGAAATTTTATTTCTCTTTCTGAGCTTGAATATGGTCCCTTGAAATTCAGCTTTAGGAGGGTTCGCCTACAATTGACAAAGTAAGTGGGTAGGAATAATCGCTATAAAGACTGAAAAAAATAAACATCAAACCAGAAATTGCTCTCTTCAAACTGTAAATTGTAAATGATCCTGAGAGAATATTCAGTGTGTTAAGGATTTCCCTGCTCTACTGTTAGCTCTATACAAGAGAGGAAGGGCGATTCTGTTTTAATTTCGGTTTCGCTGACACAGCTTTCGCCGAAATCTCGCTGTAGTCGTTTTCGTCGACAAAAGGAATAGCAAAATCGCTCTCCGCGTCTTCCCCCATTTTGTTCTGCGTCATTTCGTGAAGGACGCGTGGCTCTCAGCGTGGGTCATCCACGCGGAACACATTCGCGCTATGTGATTGGCTGTTGTCTAATCCCCCTTGAGATCTGTGGTGTTAAAAATAACTCGAGACGAATTACCTATGGAATAGGGTGTATATGGGGAATGCCCTCTCTGTCCCCTTTATAGTCTCTTGATGTATATATATATATATATATATATATTTTTTTTTTTTTTTTTTTATTAATTTTTTTTTTGGAGAAAATTTCTTAATTCTATATATATATATATATTTTTGAAAATAAGAACCTGTTTTAGGATTTTAGCCTAAATGGTTCTTATGTGAAGGGTGCTTAAAAATGAAATTTTAGCCTAACAGGTTCTTAAATGTTAGGTTCTTATACGCGGGTTTTTACTGTAATCGTTGATTACGGATCCGTGTTCATCACTTATGGAAACGAAATCGAGTCGAAAGGAGTCCAGTTTCCGGGCGAAATGCCCCTGATAAAATTAATAGGGGCGGCTAATTTGCAGTAGCCCGTGATAGCTCGAAAATTTCTGCCTTTGTGCCACAGGAACACCTGATTAGGATACGTTCTGACCAACGCGCTGATACCGACAACAGTCAAATTCCCGTCAAGAATAAACTAAGGATGTTTGAACAAAATAAACTGCCTTCATCGACACAAAATTGTGGTCTCGATGAGCCGACGGTGTCCGTAATATCGGGAGTTAGTATATACTAAAACAGTGGATGGTGTTTTTCGTGCGCTCTGATTGGCTACTCAATCAGTGAATATCCTGCACTATTCACTGATTCACCTCCAGTTCCTCCGAGCGAGCAACGCCAAACTCGCGTAAGTTGCGAGCAAAATGCCTTCCCGGTTTGCTGCCGTAACAAACAAAGAAATTTCACAACTAATGAAACAAGCTGTTCCCGAAATACACGAAGAAGGTGACGAAATTCGGTTTGGAAGTTTTAACAGCTAAAGCTTTGTCTTTTTGACTCGAATTTATCAATAAAACCAGTGAAAAAGTTTTTTGTTTACAAAATGAAATGCAAATTAAGCTTAAGTCTTGCGTTACTTTACTTAGTTGACTTGTCCATCAATAAGCTTAAAACTAAATTTAATAATCTTTTTTACAGAATGATTTAAAATACAAAAAGAATTCACAACTCCTTTTGAAGAAATTTCCCCGCAAGAGCTAAGCAAATGCCTTCAAAAGTTTTATTTGTCGGCAAGAAAAAGCGACGGCCGCGGCCGTTCGGTCATTACGCGCCAAAATTGTAATCGTTGGCAACAGTATTTGAGTTAAAAATCATCATTTTTGTGCTCAATTATCTCACTGTTTTAGTATATACTAAAACAATTATTCACCTCAGTGTCGGTGGGTAGTGGTGGTATTTACCGAGCTGCGAAGCAGCGAGGTAAATATCCAAGACTAGCCACCTCCACTTCGGTGAATAATTGTAATTTATCTATTTCAACTGCATGGGGATGTTACTTGGAGCACAGAATCTGCAGATCAAATAATAAAGAACCACGAACTAAAAAAATAAGCATCTATTCTTTGTGGTCAAGCTCCTTGGCTACCACGGTTTTCAGAAAGTGCCAACCAATCACGACAAGGGCTAAGATTTAAATTACATCTCAGCAAAATAGAGGTACCGGGCAATAAAGGCGAGAAAAGTTGTTTGAGTAACCCATGGTTGGTTTTGATTTACACCTGATTGGTCGAAGAAATGTTGCAAGAATTTTCAGCCGATCACAAAGGGTAACAGTGCCGCAAAACCAAGGTAATAAGGAAATTGCTTTCCGGCCGATCAAAAATTGTTAATTAGTTTATAATTAGTTCATACTTATGTATTTACCTGTAAAAGAAATCACTGAGCCCTTCGGCAAAGCCAGTGATGCAATTTTAATATAAGTTCGCCTTGTTGTGGCCTTCTCAATTTCAGTACAGCATAATCGTTCGACAGAGCTTTTGAGGCTGTCCATCTTAATGGAATATAAGCCTTCATTACATTGTACCAATGAAGTCGGCCGTTACGCTCTAAGAAACCAACACGCAACGCGCCAGCGGTTTCACCGTCCACGCAGTGCGCGCTGGTGAGCACGTGACGAGAACCGATTAGAATACCCGAGCATGACCAACAGAAGCCTTTACAAGCCACTTTGCATGCAGCTGAGTGAGGGATTTGTTGGGCTTCAAAAGAATTCGGCAGAAGTTGTTTCCGATCGTCGTTACCAAAGATCCATCGCTTGGATTTCACGCGAGGTTGTTCCCTGAAATAGAGGAATGATGAATGTGCTTAGAACATCTCGCCCGGTTTAGTTGATTATTAACGTGGAGAGAAGCGTTTCGTGACGACACTGAGGACGGATGTGTCGGGGACTGAAATATCGATATTTATACAGTCAAATTTGACTTAACTTTCACATACAAGCGGAGATGCACCAATGCCAGTGAATGACAGGTCCACCCTATCACCACAAAAATCAAGAAGAGTTTGAGCCACAAAAAGCATGTAAAATTAATGCATGAGGCTGTGCGGAAAGCTTGCCTCTGAATGTTTTCCAAAGTAGAGATCTTGAAGTGACCCATTGTTTAACTTAAGCTTATAATGTGCTGCTCTTACCAATCTACTTCAAAAGATGTGATATTTTCAACAATTTCGTTGTCCTCCTCATCAGAACTGTCGAAATCATTTCTTCGCACTGGTGAGCGCTGAAAATAATTACCACAACACTTTGATAAATGGTGCCTTTTTCCAGTCAGAATTGGGCAAGAAAAAGCAAGCGATAAAAAGCACATAGTATACTTGGAAAACCATCTTTCAGAACACTTGATCATTGCCAAAAATTTCAAACTGCGATCTTTTTCTTACAAAGCGTTTGATTGGTCAGATTTCTCGGCCCAGTTTCCCAGTTAATCGGAAAGGCTTACTTTCCTAATATGGAAAATAGACTCGGCGCGGCGATTCTGCGAAGCGCCAAGTTGTTTCACCGTATTTATTCGAATAAGCACCCAACCTCGAATTAGCGCCCACCTCGAATAAGCGCCCATCCTAAAGGCAGAAAAAGTTAATAAGCGCCCAGCCTCGAATAAGCGGCCACCCCTTCCCCACCCACTTGACTGAATAAATTCTAATAAGAGACTTCCCCGAGGACGGAGTTTTCTTCAGAGTATTTTACAGAAACCTTGCCTCGTCACTTCTTCGCGTTTTGTTATTAGCATTTATTGTTTTGTTGCAAAATAAACATACTTCACTTGCTGAAAATGGCGAAAATTTAATAAGCGCCCACTCTCAAGGTCCAAAACTTTAATAAGCGCCCAGGGCGGTTAATCGCGTAAATACGGTATATTTTTCACGTGTTTACATAAAAGAGAAAGCTTCTTTATCGCTTTCAAACGTTTTCCTCCTTTGCGTAGTACTCATTTCATGTTTCATTTGATGTCGTTTTGGTGTGATGGTCAAAGATGCTTATACTAGACTGACTAGACTTAACTGTCTTTGTCCTATCTTTCCTTCTGTGAGGTTACATGAATTCGTTTCCCAGTGTTTGAAATCACATTGAATCTGGTTTTGAAAACTTGCAAGGTATTCTGTACTTGTTTTATCGCGGACAGATCGTCCTTCAATCTTTATCAGTCAATGATTGACATTGACACGACATAAATACAGTGTCGTTAGATTATTTGATGAAATGGACTTTTGTTATTACTGCCAATAAGCCTGCCTGTTCTGGTGTTTCAGTCTACCGCAACAGCTATTTTTGTCCATAGTAAATAGGGCATTTTCGTGTACTGTATTGTGCAAGTGGCAGCGCAAATGGCTCAGAACTTTCACTGCGTCAACTTGCGGAGGATTTGTTAACTTTACTTTTACTTATGAGAGATTCTAAATACAGTGTCTGGCCAATAAAAGTTCCGAGTAATATTGTGTGGTCCGAGACAACATTCACAACCCACGCCCCACCTTACTGAGAATTGTTTTGTTTGCATGTCGAAAAGTTTTGTGTTTGCCACTCCCCTCCCCCCTGGAATTTCTGTTGACTTTCTGTGGGGGAGGTGTGGGTACATTTGTTTTTTGGAACTGCACTGCACATTCCACGGTGATGAATGTTTGATAGAGACTGGCTCATAAGAGAAGTGATTTTGATAGTCAACTGTAAATGTTTGACACATACTGTATTTTGGTTGTTATACTTTGTTGTTCACCAGCGTGTGGTTTCTCTCTGTTTTCAGAGTCACACCATCCTGCTCATCCAGCCAAATACAAAACCAGAATCCCGGACGTATTCTGACTACGAAACAAAAGATGAATGTATGGAAGGTAACACTGACTATAAGGTGGGCCTCACAGGGCTCTGAGATTAGTGCAAGTCATTGCATTAGAATTGACAACTTAGTTTCTCTTGTGAATTGGATGAATTTCATTCCAGTTCAGTCCAATTCAGGATTGCACAGTCACGGAAAGTCATTAGGAGAAAATTGTTTCAGGTTCAAGAAAAACCAAGAAATTTGCTTTAAGTTACATAAGAGAATTCTGAATTCTTCCTTTCAGAGAATTTCCTGTGACTTCAATGAATTTTTGTGTTGGCTTTTATTCCTCAAGCATTATCACAGTTGGTCATTGTAAGACAGCCCATGACATGTATAGAATCCAGGAATTTGTGTGAATTAACAGAGAAAAACTTTAAAAACGTATTACTCAGACAGCACATTATTTCATTTTTCAAAGGTAAAACTTATTTAAAACTGCTGGTGGACACTAATTTTTATTCACTAACGACTTGTCACATTTGTCTCTTGTCGTAGGTGTTTGCAACGTATTTGAGGAGTAGCTAAAGAAGCGCAACCCAAGCACACCTTACATCACATATGACATAAGCTAGTTATTTGACTACATTGACAACTTGGCAGACCTGTCTTGTTTAGTATACCATTCATAATCCAACCCACCCATAAAATTCAAGTAACTGTTGGGAATTTATAAGTCCACCGTATTTTTTTTTAATGACTTACTGACTAACTGACTGACTGACTGACTGACTGACTGACTGACGGACGGACGGACGGACGGACAGTAGGGTTGTGATACATCTGAATCCAATTATTTTTCATATTTTGTTTCTTTTCAGCCAATAATCTTTAGTGTAGTGTACCTTTGTTGAATTCCTGGCATCCAAAAATTGCCTCAGTTGGTGGGATAGGACCCTAGAAAAAACTGAACGTTTGCCATGATTATAAAGAAGAAAGAAAATTTTCTTTGGGTGTTTCTTTCGTAAAAACGTCATGAAATCACTCTCCTTGCCTTCAGTGCTCAGGCGCAATATATGGTAAGGTGTCACAACTCACATTAAACTCACCCTTGGATGTATGAACTGTATTCTACATGTTATTAATGCATTTCTAAGTTCTACGAGAATGGATTTTGATGACTCAGTATATGTATCTTTTGCTTGCTTTGTCCTGTTTCTTTTTCTTTAATTCTTCAACAGACAATGCCCTAAACAGCCATTTTATGAGCCACACAATAAAGAATGGATCAAGGAAAACATTTATGTCATGCTAAGAAGACAAGCCGGAAAGTAAATGTGCTGAAGATCATTGTACCAAAATTATACATCATTCGTTCTGTGACTTCCATCACACAAGCAAGACACTTGCACTGTAGAAAAGTTAACCTGGCCTTGGATGTCAAATAGTGGATTTGGATTTTCGATTTTCAGTAGTAGACTTGAAAACTGTGGAATGGCACTTCTCAGTAATAACCTTGTTTTTAGTTGATTTTCGGAAGCATTTTTGTTCTACAGTGTGCCAGCAGTAGTTAACCTTACATGGCTACCTTCACTGATTTCTCTTCTTTGTTTTTAAGAAAAGAATTGTACAGCTAATAGGAAAGACTCGTATTTCCAGCCTGTTATTCTTGTGGTGCATTAAAACACAGAAAACCAAGTTATCAGTCGGTTATTCTTGAACCAATAGTTTAATTACATGCCATTATTTCCAAATGAATTTGCACTCCTTTTTGTTTTGTAGGAGAATGAGTAGAATTAGTCACTGCATAAGACAGGTCACACAAGAGTAATTTCCTGGGATATTGGTTCAGATGAAGAGTTTCTCACTTCATTGGTATAGTTAACAATTATTCACTGAAGTGGAGGTGAATGGTATCCACCACTTTCATTGACACTGAGGTGAATAATTGTTTCAGTATATACCACACAAGTTGAATAGCAAACATTTATTCCAATAATTTCCTCTTCGGAAAGCAAAGCAGGAGGCCGTTTTGTTTCTCTTAGGCTGCTTGGAGGTGAATAGTACTTTGCTAATCACCACCGAGTTAACAAATCAGCGCGCGTGGAAAGCACTTTTCACTTGTGTGGTACAGTATATACCGTATTTATTCGATTAACCGCCCTGGGCGCTTATTAAATTTTTGGACCTTGAGAGTGGGCGCTTATTCGAGGTGGGCGCTTATTCGAGGCTGGGCGCTTATCAAATTTTCACCATTTTCAGCAAGTGAAGTATGTTTATTTTGCAACAAAACAATAAATGCTAATAACAAAACGCGAAGAAGTAACAAAGCAAGGTTTCTGTTAAATACTCTCAAGAAAACTCCGTCCTCGGGGAAGTCTCTTATTAGAATTTATTCACTCAAGTGGGTGGGGTGGGGGTGAGCGCTTATTTGAGTTTGATTGGGAGAAGGAGGGGGTGGGCGCTTATTCGAGGCTGGGCGCTTATTAACTTTTTCTGCCATTAGGATGGGCGCTTATTCGAGGTGGGCGCTAATTCGAGGTTGGGCGCTTATTCGAATAAATACGGTACTAATGATGTTTAGCAATTAACCTTGTTGTGGTGCCTCCTAAAACTTAAGAGGGAAAATTGCAGAACTAGCATTGCTGTTTGAAACTAGTTAACAATAATTATTCACCGAAGTGGAGGTGAATATTGGTGGATGATTACCGAGCCGCAAATCGGTGAGGTAAATATCTACCAACACCTCCACTTCGGTGAATAATATTTGTTTTAGCACGTCCACACAAGCTGAATAGCTTGCGTTTATTCAAATAATTTCCTAACAGGACGCTGTTTTGCTTCTCTTTAGCTGATCAGAGGTGAATGGTACTTTGCTAATCACCTCCGAGTTGACCGACCAGAACGTGCGGAAAGCATTATTCACCTGGGTGGTATATACTAAAACTCTCAGGTCCCCAGCTATTTGTCTTGGCTAGTGACTATGTTCTCTTCCTCTCGTATCTAAACAGAATAGAAGTTGTACTCTGTCGTAAATAGACTGTAGTGCTGTACTAAACCGCCTTGATTGACAAAAGATATTTGTGGGTACAGTAGTTATATATTTCTGTAACTGCTAGCTGTTTTTATAAAATGTTTTTGCTGTTGTAGTTTTTAAAGAGGGCACCTCTATTAAAAGGAAAAACGCATTACCAAGATGTTTTCACCACCAAAGGGTTTGGTGGGAGAGGAATCTTCCTGAATTATCGTCCCAAGTCATTCTTACACTCTTGTAAAGAGTCAGTAGTCAATAAATTAAAGGAAACTAACATCAGGGTAGTCTGCGCACAAAATGTCTTGATAATTAAAATTTATTCTGAGGTGAATTCAACATAACCCTAGAGTAGCGCAGAACAATAACAGATAAAAACAGAGATTCCTTTGTTGGCTGAGAGAGAAGTTTATTCGTGAAACTAGCAAACCTAAAGTAACACACAAATCGCTGAATAAACCTCTCGGACCCGGGAAGGTGGGCGGGAAAAGAATTCGAATATACAAAAGTAAAAATACTATACGCAAAGACAGTGATGTTACTTGCAATAATTACAAAGCCAACTGATACACACCATCTCGGTCAAAACAAATGAAATAATGGCAGTGTCATGGTATTCTTTCCAGTTTCGAAGACAAATTACACTCAGTGACCAGAGAGATCACAGTACCATCATGCGCGCGATGCTGCTCAGGGTTCCGAGCCTGCGAACATCAGGCGAGTATTTCGCCCTGTTACCGCTGCGCTAATGTGTCCCCGAACTTCTAGAACCACTTATGAGTTTTACTCCGATATTTGTTTAGCGGTATTTTCTTCCTGTGGACTCGTTTTCTCTTCACAAAATAATTTAACACGATTTACATCTTGGAAAATATAAAATGGGACGCTTTACAAGCTGTTCCAGACGCTTTTTTACGATTTATCATGGTTTTGTAGCAGTGCCGGACAGTAAAACATTGGCATAGATAAGTCTTTATTTCAGTGATTGCCGAAAACGCCCAAAATCATTTGAAATCGTTGCAATACGACCATAAACCATATGAAATACATTGTAAACCGTAAATAAAACGTACAAGTATCATTTAAACATATATGGTGCGAGTGGACGACATAGAGAATAGTTTAATACTTTAGTCTTTCACCATTGTTTCGTATTATCTCGGCAATACGACCATTCTGTTCCCTGCACCCTATCACAAAACTCTTCACATGATTCACGTGTAATACCTCCCTCAAGGGCATCTTCTCTAACTTCTGAGACACGATGTTAAAAGTTTTCTCTATAGGATTTAAGTCAGGACTGCGCGGCGGTATTTTTAAAAGTTCGGAATTACAACGACCCATCGCCTCACGGGCTGTTTTGCTATTTTGAGACGGATCCCCATCTTACCGCCAGAGTCGAGTCGATCTCTTACCAGATCGTTCGAACATGGCATCAAAATGCCGGTCGATGAAAGATGCAAAATATTGTACATCCATTTTTTCATATGTCGCGCAAATCACTACTGCTTTACCACGACTTGTTGCTACCATCATCTTGGCAACTTTTCCTCCCGTTCCAACTTTACTTCCCTTTGCCAAGCACCCCTGCGTGAGGCCTTCAGATTTTTTTTCTCCAGAATCTCCCTTTGGGAGCCAGTGCTTGATCCATGGGGTTTCGTCCAATTGAGACTCCCTCCAGGTAAAAGGCGATAATTTCTGTCCATAAATTCGGAGGGTAATTAGCTTGCATCTTTCTGGCAAACTCCACTCTCTTTTATTTGTCCGTTTGACTCATAAGTGCATTTTTTTCCAGTCTGCAAGAAGCAATAGCCATTTCTATTTAATAAACGCCGAACAGTTCAATAGCTGACATGACGAATTCCCGTCTGTTCCATAAGGCGCCGCGAAGAGAATGAACCCTCTCGCTCTCTCAATTTTGAAATGCTTCGAACAATCGAAGCCTCGTGTTCGGGAGTAAGCTTTCTCCTTCTGCCGCTCAAATATCTCCGGTTTTCAGGCGCTTTGTCTCTCGTGGTTACTATACGGTGTATACTTGCTGTGGAAACCCCACATCGTTCAGCGATTGCCTCTAATGAGAGATCTGTTGTCGCCTTTAGGGCCTTGATAGTAGCTCTCGTTTTCTCAGGTATTCTTGTCTTTTGTTTGAGCTTTCAAAACAACCCCTCGTCTAAACGAATGACCGGCATATCGCTCTTTGTTTAAACCCGCAGCGCGTAAAGTCATTTGTAATTTTTGCAGAAATTTGTGGTAGGTGAGCATCACTAGTTTTGTCCCTCGGCGGTACATAAAGGCAGGATCGTAGGGTCCTGCGTCTCGTTAGATCATAAGCATTGGCCAGCGGGGTAAGAGGACAGAGGGGGAATTCGTTTACCCTCGGCACCGGGATCAACAATGTTCGCTGCTTAAATTGAATAGTTTTGTTCCATCGGACAACCATAACCACACCCTAGCTAAAAGAGGTGTAGGTGACTTCTACGGAGATGTGAATGTTCATCGAATTTATCTCGTGAAAGCAGGAGGAGATTGGCTTTCCTGAAAAAGCTATAAAAGGCAACCAGGTAAGCCGCCCAAAAAGTCGCATCGAACGAGTCTGTGAGTGTCAACTGCTTACAGATTTCAATGAGGACAGTTGGCGTTATAGGAAGTTTTGGTCGAGCGGCGGCGTTGTCGCTTGATCTCCTAATGCCACGAATAAGCAATGCACCTATCAATGTTAAATCGCAGGGGGGTAAGGCCGGGCATAAGAGGGGTATTTGACGTAAGAAGTCTGCCCGTGGCAGGGGCTTTTGATCATTGCGGCCCGCGGGTCGGGACATTTGACTTTTAAAACCATTAGTGGGGAATTTGTGCTCTTTTGAAGAATGATAATATCCCTGGGGTTGGGCATTTGAACAGAAAAAATGAAGCGGGGTGAAATCCCCCGCCTATGCCCGGCCTCCAACCCCCCCTTCCCCCATGCAGTTTAACTTGATAGGTACATAATGAATACTGGAATTTAACTAACTCGTTTTCTAGGGCTTAGGATATCCATCTGCTGATGAATAAGCCGTACAATGTTAAGATAGTTCGAAATGCTGCCTGGCGACAGGATGCGCGACAGAAAGGCCACATATCTCAGCAGTGTCAGTGTTGGGCACGGAACGATGTTGTATCCAAAGTACAAACAGAATCGTAAATAAGTACGAAACTGCGACTTGTACGTTGTCCTCGTAGTATCGGCAAAGGCCTCGCCTCGATAGCGTGTACATTCTTCATCTAGGGCCCGTTCATGAGCGCGTTTTGGACCTGTGTTGGAAGCAGA